AAATTATACCATAATAAAGTTGCTTTAGAAATAAATTCAGGGCTGTATATGATTAAAGTTTCACTGATGAATCATCTCAGTGGCTTCAAGACCTTGGGAAAGGGGCCAGGACCAGAGAAACATTTGGTAATCATCTGACTTGAGCTAACAATTGAATTAACATTTGATATTATCAGCCATTTTATAAGAATTCAATCATAGAAACACACATTTTTATTTGATTAATTAGACATTTGGAAAAAGGATTTAGGCTTATAACCTAAATTTAACCAAATGGAATCATCCTATATATAGAAAAATAGGAAGAGACTGAGAAATGGATAGCTATTACTCAACTATAAATACTCATTCTTGCATGGTGCATTCTCAATATACACATATATCAACCTACGTGAAAAACATTTCTGTAAGATATCCAGATTTTCCATAGATTTGATTTTGCAGAAATATTTATAAAATATTAGTAATTATAATTTATCATCATTACAGATAAAGTTTAGGAAAAAATATGGTATTTAGTGAACTAACGTGTTGAAATTTCTGCAAGATGGTTTAGCTACTTCATTGACTCCAAGGACATTCTACTTCTTTTTCAGTTATTAGTCTCCTTTAAATAAACTAAACTCTACATAGAATTTTGTCGTTGTTTTTGATTTTAAATATAACATTTTTTATTGAAGTATAGTCAGTTTACAATGTGTCAGGCTCTGGTGTACAGCATTATAGTTCAGTCATACATATACACAGAATTTTATGTTGTAAATGTATTCCAAATTCTAGTTCTGTTGACTGTAATCAGAAAATACAATTTTTGTTTATAATCATCAAAGAGAATGCTTTGTATCTTGGGTTGGGTGTGTGCTTCTCAGCCAGTTGTGCTCCTATACCTTCTGTGTGCTGTTTTTATGTCAATGAAAATAGAGAATTTTCTTTTTGAGGTAGTTGATCAGTTACTGTCATCCTTTAACTTGGCGAATATTGTAGTGGCCTCTTGTACGTTGGCCTGAATCCAAAAGCATGTTTAAGCAACTAAGTGAAAAGCAAATGAACATATTTGAAATAGTTTCCCTTAATATATACCCTAAAAACAGAGACATACAAGGAATTACATGGACTTTTTGGAGCTTTTGTTTTTCCACCAAAGTTTTTCTTTGAACTATTCAGTTGCCAGGCATCTAATTCTATCTGCAGTGTTGTCCCTGATGTTGAGAGTCATGTTCTGAAATGAGGGTAAAATCTGTGCTTCAATTTCCCCCATGGATTGGAACCTTGGTACTAATACAGCGACACACAGATCTGAGGCTGAAAGCCAGGCATGCATCATGACAACAATTAATTTGGACACATCTTAACATACAGGCCCATTTCTCAGTCTCAGATTTAATTTGGTGCTGCAGATGAAATCCTATCTGTGAAAATCAAATAGAGGTTAACTGAAGATTAGGTTGTTCTGCTGTTTAAATGTCCCCAGCTTTGATATGACACCAGTGTGACATCTAGGTTTTATTTCTGTCCCCATATCGTTTCTGCCTCCCCGGCTCTGAGATCGTTTCCTCAAGTCGGCTAGCAAACACGAGTTGTGCTCAAGAATTAGTATGCTTGTCACAGCTGGTATCATTCTGGAATTCCCTTGTAACAACTCGGAGTATAAAAGACAGGGAAAACAATGCCTGCTTTAGTGTAGCTTAATTTCTAGGAAAGATTGGTGTCCTGAAGCCACACTTCCTGCTTCACACTATCAATTTAAAAAAGCCTTTTAGCTTGAAACAAAATGAGGTTGTAAGTGTATTTTAAAAATGTAAAATGCTGCATCACACTCAATACAAAAATGAATACACATTTTGGGTCCACAGCCTAGTATGCACCAAAGATTGACAGAAAGAGACACCACTGGTCAAGAGTGAAATACCTCATTTGTAGAGTGTATCCCTCCATAGAGAGTCTGGACCCTCCCTAACTCGTACCCCTCTTTGCCTAGTAGAGTGTGTTTTGTTACAAGCTCTGATATAGTCTCATATCTTTATATACTGACCTACCCTAAGGGACCTTACTTTTTAATAGCTGCAGCTACTTCTGGTTTATGTATTTTCTATTACTGTTTTTACTTTTGTACTTGTGCCCCAGGCACAAAGTTTGTGAAGGGTACAATTTAAAAGCTTGAAATTTAGTTGAAGTATTATCTAGCTTCAATGTATGTACATGCTACTCACCTTGAATTCATTTTCCTCTTCTTGTCCTAGAAAAAATTTCTAAAAATGATTTGTGTGCAATGGTGAAACATAATTAAGTCTTTAGGATATTCTGAGTCAGTTCGCACATGTATTGACCATGGGTAAATGAAAATATCTAAAATTCACACATTTTAAAATTCATAGAGGTGATCTAACTAATTTTACTGTATTGATACCTACAACTAGGGTACAGGGCCTTAATTTAAATATTCGTTGTCTCATAACTCATTATAATCTCTCAACTGTTTTTCATAATATAAATAATATTTTTGGTTATACATATGATGTATATTTGTGGATGTACATGTATTAATATTTTGTATTTAGTTCTTGTATTTCATTGGTATACATTTGTTACTTTAAAAATTCTGAAACAATGTTTATGGAAATATATTGGGTGTAACCTGCTTGTTTTGGGGGAATTCTGTAATGAAGGTGTGTTAATGACACTGACAAACAGGCAAATTGCTGCAAAAAAAGTAGCCTCTAGCCTTTTAAAAAGTCATCAAATTTTGAACAATCATAAAGTGTTTGACCAACCAGTGTTCATGTCCCTTCATATCTATAGTCCTATCTCTTTTTATTAAATTATATCTTAAGTGCCCATTGCTGGTCACTGAAAAGCGAAGTTTATCTTGCCTATTTTGCTCTCATTTCAAGGATTTGCTGGATTTTTTACATTAAAGTTTAACTGATGTTTTTGTAATATTTATAACTTGGCTTAGCCCATTTGTTGCCTTTTTGTTTTGTTTTCTCAACAAACTCAAAACCAAAGTTAATAAAAAGTTGATACAGTTTCTTTTATATAATCTTTATATGTTTTAGCCTTAGGGTTGAATGTAAATGAGTTATTTTTAATATAAACTTCAGATTTCCATATAAAGCTTTGATAAGGTAAAAATGGGTTGCAAACCTGTGGTTTTGAAATAACTCATAGAACCCAGAATTCTAGAACAAAGTCTGTAGTTTTTCGACATTCCAAAAAGGGTATCTTTTTCTTTCACCTCTTTTTTTTTAAAAGTCAGGTTAACTGAGCAGTTACAGTTTCCTACGTAAACCTCCCCCTTTTCAGTGTACATTTGTTATGTGTCTGACAAATTGATAATCAGCTAACTACCATCACAGTCAAGATAACAGAGAATTTCCATCATCCCTAATGATCCCCTCCTGCAACTTTATTGTCAACCTCTCCCCGATCCCACTACAGGGTAATCTCTAAAGTTTTCTATCCCCGTATTTTTGCCTTTACTAGAATATCATGTATAGAGAAACTTACATTCTGAGAGTGGCTTTTTAATCGTCTTTTATTTTTAATAACACCATTGTTAATTTTTTTTATGGCTGTTTGTAACCTCTAATAAAGACAAACATCCTCTTACAAATACGGCTGTAGTAGGAGTTATACGTAGATGGTAAAAGGACATGTTTTGTTCTCCACAAATTTGTTTTTAAAATGCTCTTGTTATTCTGTATCTTCTCCCTGACTCCCTGCACTGTCACTTTTTCTGAATATCCTGTATTGGTATTTACTAAGACAAGCAATGATTTATGGACATTTAAATTATTTTAGTTTTTTCCAACTGTTCTAAAACATTGTGTACTATCTGATACACTTTTAGAAAAAAACATTGATTTTCTTGGAAGATTGATGATATGTACTATTGTTTATAGATACCCATGGTTTATCTTAAAAGTTGAATTAAATAATATAATTAGGAGATATATGTATATTGGTAGGTAAAGTATGTATTTTAGTAAGTGGTGGGTAAACTAAGTATTTGGTTGTGTTTTTGGGAATGTTGTCATTAATATTATTTAGGAGTTTCATTTTGGTTGTGCTGCATTTATATTTCTCTTCTGAAATGGTTACATCAGAAGACTTCAGGAATTATTTTGCCTTTAGGATAAAATTGGTTATCACATAGAACTTTGAAGTTCCAAACTGCCTTGATTTACCTCTTTGTTCTATGAGGTTACTGATTTTCACTTATGTTTTCATTTATCCTTACATCAGCCGTATAAATTAGTAATTAGTACTTTCATGTTTTAAACTTAGTATTCTCTGTTTTTTCTTTTATTCTGTCTGCCAGTATTTTCCTCAGATGTTAGTTCAGATGTCGGCCTGAATTTAATTTCTAGGTGTGTACACCTGCCATTTCATCTGTAAAGAAGCTGGAAAGAGAGAAGAGATGAGATCTATTTTTATGCTAGTAATAAAATAAAAAGGAATAATATGCAGTTTTACTGTTTAATTGTTATGTAATGAGAACATAGGTGATCGTTGGTGGGAGGGGGTGAGGATGCCTTCCTATCATCATCTTTTATGGTGTCCTCTAACTCTCCTGTGTCAACTGGGAGCCTCAGGGACGATCACTCTCATTTTCTCTGGTCATTTCCTTTAGGTGAATCTCTTTGTGAACCATTAGTTCACATTTAAAACAACTCTACCACTTGAAACAGAATGTGAACAAGAAATGAACTCTGGATTCCCTACCACCTCGGTGTGGGTTTAGCGATCTCTCATAGTTGATGTACAATCACCCAGTTGCTCCAGGTTTTTGGATGACTTTCTTCTTCACTCCATACATCCTAACCATCAGCGAGTTCTTTCAACACCACCTTCAAAATGTAGCTGAGACACAAGCCTTTTCTCCACCTCAATCACCACCACTACCCAAGTCCAATCTACTACCATCTGATGCGTAGACTTTGGGGAGACCTCTTGGTAGTCTTGCTTTCATGATTATCCTTCAAATGATTCATGTCCTGCCTACCCCTCTAAACTTATTTTTTGGCATTTCCCTCTAAATTAGTTTCCTATTACTGCTATAAAAAGTATCATGAACTTAATGCTTAAAATAATACAAAGGTATTTGTGGGAGGGAGCCATTCTGCAGCTTGCCACTCTCTTGAATTGCTTTGCTGAAGCTGTAGCTGGTTTCTGAAACAAGCCAACTTTTTATAGCCTCTGAATGATTTTGCTTGTTGTTCCTTTGGCCCAGAATATGGCCTCTTCTCTGCATTTAGGTGCCTGCTGAAAAGACATTTCCTCAGAGAGATCTTCTAGACTCTATACTTTGAAAACCTTCCTTCCTTCTCATTTGTAGTTCATTTGTATTGCTGTCTTTGTACAACCCCGATGTTATTCTATTTGTTAACTGTCTAATTGGCTGCACCACCATAAGTCAGGGTCTTTGTCTTGCTCATTGATGCATTCCCTGGATTAATTGTATTGGCAAGAACATAGTAATCTCTTAAATTATGTTGAGTAAATGATATATTATTCCAGTTACAAAGATGAGTAAATTAGACTCACAGATGTTAAGTAAAGTCTTTAAGATCACAGAGCTAGCAGTGGTAGAACTGAGAGTTCATCTCAGATTTGTCTAATTTCAAGACCTGCATTTTTTATATTACCTCTCTTTTTAATGAAAGTAACTTGAACCATGACCTATATTAATATGCAGTCTACCTAGCCACAACAAGAAAAAGCAAACCCAGAAAAGACATCATTTGCATTTTTTTTCAGGGAATCCTGGACAGTGATATGCTTAGAAGTGCTATTGAAAATGTATTTTTTTCCTGACATTGTGCCATTTTGGAATCCATTCCATGATCACATGGTTAATTCAAGTTCAGGGAATGATTTATATAAGTCCTTGAATATGTATACAATATGGTGCTTAACATACAGCTATCTATCATCCTAAAATTGATTATGGAATGTTAAATGTAATAATTTTGCGATATTTTTATTGAAATGCTTAAGAAGTCTCTAGGTTCTAATGCAATACAAAAAAGTAATTTGATATATATAATACTTCCTTTTTATTTATTATTTCTTTAAATATAAATGCTTCAGCAAGTGAGTGATTATGATCAATGTTCAAAAACATTGTAATAGTTGTTTTTTAATGCAAATTATTTTCTTCTAGAGTGGCACATAGTGTGTGATTTCTTTTGGTATCATTTACTTTATCATGCTGTTTGTCTATCAAGCAAAATTTTGAATCACTGCCTTCATGTGGAGTAGTTCCTCGGGTGTATAAAAAACCCAAGAATTTCATCATGTTGATTTTGTTCTGAAATACATCAACTGGTGATTTTAATTTAGCTAAACAAATAACTTAACAAACTTGCATTAAGCTTTTAAAAAGCTTTCGTAACAACGCTTTAGTGTTATTGAGTGTTGATACAATAAAGTTTAGGACCAGTCCTAAATGCTCACCCAATATGGTTAGAAAAAGCATATCATGAGTTCAAAGGTAGGAAATACATTTACATTTGTTCCATATGTTGTTCAGAAACAGGCCAAATGGAGTGAAAGCATTCTGGAATCTCTTTTCCCTTTCAGAAGATTAGAAAATTCTGCTCAATGTATAGCTAACTAAATAAAGAATGACATGTCATTGATTTTTAATAAAATGAACATAAATATTTTAAATTTATGAAAATATTTTATTCTTGAGCAGTTTAGCCTCTATCTGTAATTAATTGGCTACCCTGATATTCCACAGACCTACAGCTTGAGACATCTGGCACTTGGGACACACAGAAAACTACAAAAGCTTCTCCTCTTACGTGGGCATAAAGTTTTGAACAGATCTTAGACTTTTACTTGGGATATTTCTGGAATACACACCATTCTCTCAACTTGATCACATTTCAATTGGAAAACTGACTATAATAATCCTATAACTGTTTGGACTTAACATTTTTGGACATTTAACTGTTTCCATACAATTTCAGAGAAAT